TACAATGTTCTAAATTAGTACTCTTCCAATTTAGTACTTTTCTGACTATCTTAAATGTTAATTTCTTATAAATTAAAATAAAAATAATTTAAATTAAAATACATAATTTAATATACAATAAAATAAAATGAATGATACCCGAATGTATCTTAGTGTTTTTGTCTCATATTAAAATTTAAAAATAAATAAATAAAGTTAAGACAAAAAAAAGGAGCATTTATAAATCATGCAGGGTACCAAGTCTATGTACGCCAATGCTTGCGTTTGTTGTTAGCAGCGAAAAACACTGAAAGTACATTAATCCGATTTTCTATATTTGTGAACTTAGCACATAATTCATTTAGAAAAATCTAGATGGCAGCACTATTATTTCTACAAAAAAAGGTTTCGGTAATGATAAATTATTTATAAATGCTGGGTGACAATGGGAACAAAATTGTAAAAAATCAATTCCGCAATGCGTATCTATAACATATATCAATGCATGTATATCAACTATAAAAATGAATTAAAATCTGAGCCTTCTCTAGTAAGGATTTTTTTCCTTTCGTCCCTTTGAAGATAATGAATGCGTAAATTTGAATTGTGATGAAATTTAAGGGCCTCCTACGGAATGTGGAAAGCGATTAATGCTACCGTCAGTTTTCAAATACCAAAATGATAAAGATAAATTCGTAATTCCTCATTAGATATTGAAGATAATAGTAAGGTTGATTGGTAAAATATATGAATGAATCTCACCTTTAATGATAGAAGCATGTAACTTGGTGCACATGTACCACACATATGAAGCTTTAATTTTGGATGGAAGGGGAAGGTCATATTTAGACTTCAATCATAGCAATAATAGCGGCAGTATAAAATTATGACCTCTGTAAATGTTTGACGCAATGTTCTTAAAAGGTTTTTTTTTTGGACGATTTTGTATGATATCTAGTAAAGAAATGACTAAATTTGATATTTTGTGAGTGCAATTATCTATTTTAATCAATATATATATGTCACTTGGAGCATTATGTAGGTCACATGCTCGCTTCGCTCTCCGACCTTCATCATTACTTCTCAATCATTTTGATTTTGTGATGATAAACGGAATGTTGCATTAAAAATATTACGTATTATTCTATGTCTGATAACATTAGCCACATTTCATTAATAGTACATTTATTTCAATCAAATTTTAGGCATTAATAAATGTTAAACAATTTACACTTATTGTATAATTAGTCAAGTAATTAGAGAAAGAATTGTGCTTCTTCGCAAAACTTAATATTTAAGACATTTTAGACAAGAACTTTTCTATGTAACTAGAAATTATATCTGAAGATACATAAATAATAACTTTTTTTAAGCATAAATTCATAAAATTATAAATCCCCCCAAAAAAAGTAAAACGCATTTGACGAAAAGCACTAAGTTCTTCTGAAATTTATAAACAAAGACGTTTAAGCGCTTTTGCTTATGTGTGACTGCTTGTCTGATTCTTTTTACACATATCTCAGTTTGCAGTTCTTTATTGTCAACGCAAAAGAAAAAAAATCTTGTTTTTTTATCAGTCTACATACGCAACAATGTTTTGTATAATAAGAAGATAATATTTAAATAATATGTATTTTATTATGAGAATACACATAATCAAAATAATGTAGTTCGAGATTCTAGCTCAATCTAGGCACGATTTATGATGTTTTGTTGTTTTTATGATTTTTTAAAAAAAGAGACGAATTCGTTTTTAGTTATGTTTTTCTGCTTCAAAAGTCGCATGTATATATATATATATANTTGGTATCATTTTAAAGGAAATTTGCTGTAATTTATGAATTAAAAAGTTATTTCTTAGAGCTATGCATGATTATAGTAAAATGCATCATAAATAGAGAGCATTCATGCTTTTGACTCATTCTACGAAAAAAAACTGTCTATTTTAAACAAGAATAAGTTATTAAAAATATTGAGATTTTACATGTAGTTTGATTTATATTGCATAATAAATTGTTCTTGAGTCTAATTATGCAGTAATTACCGTCAAAAAAAAATTTTCTTCTAATTTTTTAAATCAGAAATTATTTCAAATATATACTGTCCTCTCTGTTGCAATTATTCTTTAAAGTTTATTTTATTCATTACACAAAAATCTTTTTAACATAATATTTGGTTTTTACAATTAAGTCTATTAGTACAATCATGTTATGTTATATTTTTGAAGAAAAAAGATTAAATTTTTTTAAGTTTCTCATATAACAGAGTGGACAAAACTAAATGTCCACTCAGTTACACAAAATTGATAGGTTGACCATTAAAAAGGAACTCCAGGAATGTAAACAAGTGCTAATGCATCTCGGTTCAACTAGCTGAAACCAGTTCCTCCACTATTAGAGTACACCTTTTTATACAAAGTTGTGCCATTTTCATTTAAAAGTGTCTTTAGTTTATAGTCAAAAGTTTTTTAAGTGAGTAGTTAATATGGGGAAAACAGCAGCTGAAAGAATGAGAGAATATAGAACTAGAATTTTCCAAAACAAAAAGATATTTGTAAGGAAGAAGATAAAGAATATTAAACGAAAATTTTTGATAACAGAAATATTTTGAAAAAAAAAATCTTAACCGAGATATAGATAAATTGAAAAAAGGAAGACAAAGGAAAAATAAAAAGGTACTGATACAAGTATTAGAAATTCAGTAAGGAAATTCTCCTTATAATATTACTTAAGCATAGGGGAAAGCTATTAAAAAAGCAAACAGTGCATTACCTGTATCTCCAAGAAAATGCTGCACTGTTCTTTGCATACACTGTAACCTTCTACCAAAACAAAAGAAATAGCCCAGTAACAAAGTTTCTGGTGAAACAAAAAAAAATTGTAATCAATTTCTACTTATCTGATTAACTTTCTTGCCAGACTTCCGGTAGTGCATGGCTGTCAAAGAAAATTGACAGAAAGCCCACAATGCGCACCATGATGAAAGCATATCAAGTATCAAAGCAGATGCATCCAAACATAAAAATTAGCAAACCTAAGTTTTGCTGTACTACGACCCATCCATATTTTATGCGTAGGTAAAACACTATATAAAACGTGTTTGTGCTATCCACGAAAATGTGAATATTTTCTAATAAAATCAAATTGCTAATTTCTCCCAATACTTGATCCAGGAGTTCCCTTGTCTTCTGGACTAGGTTCAAAATTACAAGTCTACGGAGTTGAACATTGGTAGTCGTAAACCCAGAATTGGGTCGGCTGTTCAACAGCGGTTATAAAATAAAACATTTAGCTTGTTCAAAATGACAAGTTCTGATAGTAGAAAATCGAATTACTACTACTTTGTGCAAGGTATGTTTTGACTTATTATTCGTAAATATTACTTACAAATAATGCCAATATTGATCAAATCCACTCGTCTGATTCCAGTTATGAATATAATATCGATAAATTTTACTAAAGTTTGAATTAACATAGTTTTTTTACATGTCAAAGTTCAAAAACTGCGAAATCCTGCACAAAGTAGCCCCGAATGACGGTACTTTCAGAATAAGTGTATATATGCATCATAAATTAATGATTCTAACTTTATATTGTATCGTAAGAATAATTTTACTGACTCCAATGTGTATTATATCTGTCATCATATACATCCTGTTCAATTCCAACTGCCATCATGCTTGGTATTCAGAAATTGTAGTCTTACTTAATTCCAAAAATGATGGCAGTTATTTTACACCTAGTAGTGTAAAAGAATTGGTGTTTCACTAAACTGTTAGAATTTTCCTTCTAAACTGATGGTAAAATAATCGTCAGCAATCTGCTCTTCGATTAACCGTAAAGCTTACGGTAAAGAAAAAATTCTTTACCTTCACCATTATAAAACCATTTACAGCTAGTATGGTTATAAAATCATGAATACAAAACTATACGGGTTTTAAGCATTTACTACCGGCGTGGTTTCAAAACCGTAAAATAGAAATTTAGCAGAGCTTAGAAGCTAGGCTTTTTGTTAGGTAATGGTCATTGGAGAATGTAAGTCACATATTGGAGGCTGGTGGACACTGGAAATTTTTCATGTGTTTACAGGAATGGAGGAAATATTGTAATGTCAACACTGTGATTCAAACCAGAAATTATGCTTGATTACTTTGCACCAAGAAGAGTAAAAGAACATTTTTGGTGTTTCACTAAACCGGGAAGTGAATTTGATGAAACACCCAAAACAAGGCTTATCTGTGGGTTTTTTTTAGAACAAAGGTATTGGGGTGTAAAGTACTTGCCAAAACTTTTGACGTTTAGATGCATTAATATTTTGCTCAGTGTACAATGGGCAAAAAAATGCACGGACCACCCTGAATAACTTTTAATCTAATAATCGCATTTTTATGTTTTAGGAGTCAAACTTGAAGGTTGAAGGGATAATCTCAAATATACTAATTAATTAGTGCAGACGATATGTTAAGTTACGAAATCAGACACAATAACGTACCATTGCATTTGATCAAAACCATTATCATTAGATCAAAAGTTATTCAGCTAGCTCTTTTTTGTTGCTGACGTATTGTGCATATTTGTTCAGACTAAAGGGGCCAATATCGAGCGTTGATTATAGGTACCGAAGCGTTGGCTATAGAACACATACATGAAACCTATGCACTCTATGTATGAAATAGTGCAGTTTCCACTCCATACTTGACACCGTAATTCGTAATTAATTGAACAAAATGTATTTACACATTTTTTAATTCACTCATGGTGGCTTGTTTACCGTATTTGATTTCTATTTTAGATTACTTAAGCAAATAAAATCATGCGTTGGAGTTACGAATTCAAGGTTTACGCTTTTTTTTTATCTCAATTTATACAGACTTTGTATCCCATAAAATCATAAAAACGCAAATTGATAACTTAATTCAGAAAAAGTGCACACGTAAGGAATCGAAAGGAATATACTATTCTAATTTAAAGTTGTTCATCCTTCTATTACACATTGTTTTCTATCTTCTCGAGAGAAATATTTTAAATATTTAATAATATTTTGTTGCATTTCATAAAAAAAATCGATCCCTTCAACGAAGGCAGCAGGAATTTTACCGATATAAGGTAATATCAGTATCTATTTATGCTTATTTTATTGTATTTTGTAATTGTCGTTGAGCAGCCAACCCAATTTTTGGGTTTACGACTACTAATGTTCAACTCCGTAGCATTGTAATTTTGAACCCAATGCAAGGGAACTCCTGTATCAAGTATTGGGAGAAATTTGCCAACGCTGATCATTTTTTGGTGGAACTCACCCGCATTTGCGTTACATGGAGAGGAAGACCACGAGAACATCCCACGATTAGCCTGACGGCAAGAGGATTCTAACCCAAGATCCGTCTACCACTGAAGATATATAACATGTCAGCACTGTGATCGGTGCAAGCCGGATGCGGAATTCGTATCGACCAGCCATCACTGAGATTCGAACCCGGTTCACCTCATTGGGGGGCGAACGCTCTATCCCTGAGCTATCGCGGCTCCTATTTATGCTCATTGCTATACATTATATAAGCTTAATAATGCTATGTATATATTATGTAATATATTTTATATACGTAATATATTAATATATACGTAATATATACGTAATATATTTTATGTATGATACTTTATATTATTGAGGCAATTTAATGATGGGTCACATTTTAAAGCGATTACAGACAGAGTTTAAAGAGCGTTTTTTTGTGAAAAACAAAAAGGTTTTTCAATTATGCAGTTACTCTTTCCGCATTGTTAGAATTTTCAATCCAAAATTGTGGTGAAATATCCGGCAGCAGCCTGTCCATCCAATTATTCGTAAAGTTTACGGTTAAGAACGTTTTTTTTTATCTTTGCAGTTTCGAAACTGTTTACAACTAGTGTGGCCAAAAAAAAAAAGAATAAAAAACTATATGGTTTCTTAACCATTTACAACTAACATGGTTACAAAACCGTAGAAAAGAAATTTAACTGGACATTGGAGACAGTTCAGCAGTTTTAAAGTGCTGCCATCTATGTGTGAATTATTGTATCGTATTATAATAGTCCATGGTCATAAATTGAGAAGTGCAGGATACTTATAACTTTTCAAATGCTGAAGGGAATGGAGGAAATAGCGTAATGTCAAAGCTGGGACTCGAACCCCTGTTCCGTCGGTCATGAGATTGACAGATTAGCACTCTCAGCTTTAATATGTACCCAGCTATAAAGAGCTAAAGGGCATCATTAGGTGGTCCTTGTTGGTACGATGAAATGCGGTTCATTTAAATGTATTAGGTAAAAGCAGTTAATAAACGATTTGCTCGCAGTTTTTATTTTGGTTTTTATATCATCTCATTTATGGCTATATGACTGATTTGTTTGAATGTTGTAAAACAACTATAAATAACTCTCGGCTATAATATACAATCATCTACAGGGAACTAAGTGGCTTCATTAGATGTGCCTAGTTTTTGTGATATTCTGGTTATTAGAAGAAAAAAGTTATTAAACGATTTTTCCCACAATTAACAATTTAAGTGTCATATTATTTATGATTATTTGGTTGTTTTGTTTGAATGTGGTAAAATGACAATTCAAACAGTTTGTTTTTTTATCCATTTTGACATCTCTAGATACTTTACTCTGGTACTTTACAAAATTATGGTATTTATATTTGATAACAGTTCAACACGCACTGATAGAAATTTTTCGGAAAACATTTCATCTTTAGAAAAAGTGCGACTAAGTTTATACGGTTCCTGCCATTTAATTGCAATCTGAATACTTGAAATAACTTTTTGTAATTGATATGTTATTGTGAATAACCCAAATTGATGGCTGTTGACTTCCACCGTTGAATGTTGAGAATCACTCCGAATTACTCTAGGTATTGTTAAGTGCCACTGCCCGGTAGACATTTCCCCTGTATACCCTATACCGATGTTTTTTTTAAGGTTCAGTGCCACTGCCCGGTATACATTTGCCCGGTATGCCTTACATCAATGTTTTTTTTAAGATTAAGTGCCACTGCCCAGTATGCATTTAACCCGCACTCAGAACACTGATGTTTCTCCTAATCTATCCTCAACAGATATTAAAATATCGAACAAATATAATAATGTAAACGAATAAATTTATATCAGATTGGATAAAACAAATATTTCTGACATTCACCAAAGTGACAATTTGGTTGTTGACATTCACCGGTGAATGTCGACATTCCTTTGATTTCGGTCATTGAAGGTAACATATACACAGCATGAGCATTCAGGTCAATTTCTGAGGAGAACCAAAATAAAATACACAGTTGCATTGGTTCTCAAAATTTCACAAAAGAAAAAATAACTAAAAAACATTTTTTTTTCTCCATTTGTTGAATATTTGCAAAGGGATTCGTTTTTTAAAGTTCTTGCATAGCTTTTGAGTTAATCTGTATGAATTATGTTTAATGTTGTCTTAATCATAATCTTTAGATATTTTAAAATATTTTTATCCTTATGATAGTTTTATTTATTTAAATTTTTATAAAATGAATACTATTTCTAAACATTTGCTACTCTTAGTAGAATTTTTGTTAAAGCCATGTTTCAGGAAATATGCTTTTAGAATTTTTAAGTAAAAAGAAAGTAGAAATGATTAATAGAGTTTTTACAATGCACTATTGCACAAAGAAGCAGTGCTCTCTTTTATTTTGCTACAAAACATGAAAAATGTTAAAACCCATTCTTATTGGCCAGAACATTGTCAACATAAAGTTATAAAGGCATTGTTTTTTTCCTTTATGCCTTTATCTCTATATAAATATGCCTTTTTCTCTAACTGAAAGATAATCACTTATATTGTTTATCTAACATCCTCCGTAAGTATTTTATGTTTTTTTTAAAAAATGTTTCTTTCATTATTGGGTCAGGTAAGTTCCTGACGTTTTTTTAATTTATTCAAAGTTCATTAATAGTAAAGACTCATCAGACGTGAATGAGGAAAACTAAAAAGACTTGAAACAGAAAGTGTAAAATTGCCATCATAAAAATGGAAAAAAAAGTTAAAAAAACAAAAGCTATAAGAACCGTAATGGCCGAGAGTGAAATAAAAAATATAAAGTAGTCAATGCAAAATGAAAAATTAATTAAGGTGATAAAATAAAACATGAAAAACAGCAGTGGCTAAGAGAAGCAAATCAGGGCAGGTTGAATTTCCACGTGCTAAGGAGAGGAATTAATGATTCGTGTCGTTGACAAGAGAATTGACAACTATATAAATGCAACAATATTTCAGGGGCATCATGTTTGGCTGACATAACATGGGTAGAAACAATTTTCACANAGTACAAGTAAAAGTACTAAATTTAAAAAGTAACGAAGTACAAGTAAAAGTGCGTACTTTTTACTTGTACCGGCGGTACAAGTAACGAAAGTAAAAGTACTGCCATATATGTATACATTTGTCCGGTATGCCTTACATCAATGTTTTTTTAAGGTTAAGTGCCACTGCCCAGTATGCATTTAACCCGCACTCAGAACACTGATGTTTCTCCTAATCTATCCTCAGCAGATATTACAATATCGAATAAATATAATAATATCAACGAATAAATTAATATCAAATCGGATATAACAAATATTTCGGGCATTCACCAGAGTGACTATGGGATTGTAGACATTCACCGGTGAAAGTCGACATTCTTTTGATTTCGGTCATTCACGGTAACATATACACAGCATGAGCGTTTCAGGTCAATATCTGAGGAGAGCCAAAATAAAATACACAGTTGCATTGGCTCTCAAAATTTCACAAAGGAAAAAATAACTAAAAAGCATTTTTTTTTCTCCATTTGTTGAATATTTACAAAGGGATTCATTTTTTAAAGTTCTTACATTGTTTTTGAGTTACTCTCTATGAATTATGTTTAATGTTGTCTTAATCATAATCTTTAGATATTTTAAAATATTTTTATCCTTATAATAGTTTTATTTATTTAAATTTTTATAAAATGAGTACTATTTCTAAACATTTGCTACTCTTAGTAGAATTTTTGTTAAGGCTATTTTTTAGGAAATATGCTTTTAGAATTTTTAAATAAAAAAAATAGAAATGATAGTAAAAGTAGAAAGTTTTTTAAATGCGCTATTGCACAATGAAGTAGTGCTCTCTTTTATTTTTCTACAAAACATAAAAAAGATTAAAACTCATTCTTATTGTCCAGAACATTGTCGATCAAGATAAAGTTATAAAGGTATTGTTTCTTCGTATAAATATGTCTTTATCTCTAATTTAAAGATAAACACTTATAATGTTTATTCAACATCCTCTGTAAGTATTCTATGTTTCTATTTTTTAATTTTTCTTTCATCAATGGGTTAAATAAGTTCCGATGTGTTTTTTTTTTAAATTCATTCAAAGTTCATTAATAGTAACGACTCAGCAGACGTAAATGGGGAAAACTAAAGAGACTTGAAACAGAAACCTTAAAGTTGCCATTATAAAAATGGAAAAAAAGAGTAAAAACAAAGCTATAAAAACCGTAATGGCCGAGAGTGAAATAAACAACTTTAGTAGGTAGGTACTTTATTAACGTCACATTAGAGCTGAGCAATGGGCTAAAGGCGGTGGTCTGGGAAACATCCCTGAGGATGATCCGAAGACATGCCATCGCAATTTTGATCCTCTGCAGAGGGGATGGCTCCCTTGCTTCGGTAGCCCGAGGACCTGCACGCGAAGTCGAGCGCGCACACCCGCACACTGACCGCAGCCATTGATGCTTGACTTCGGTGTTCTCCTGCGAACCGCGTCTTTACAATCAGTTCGCTACTGGACAAATAAAAAATGTAAAGTAGTCAATGCAAAATAAAAAAATAATTAAGGTGAAAAAATAAAACTTGAAAAACTGCAGTGGCTTAGAGAAGCAAATCAGGGCAGGTTGAATTTCCACGTGCTAAGGAGAGGAATTAATAATTCATGTCGTTGACAGGGGAATTGTCATCCATATAAATGAAACAAGATTTCAAGGGCATCAGGTTTGGCTGATGCCCCTGATTGGGTAGAAAGAATGGGTAGAAAGAATTTTTACATTATCGTATATTTTGTCCATGTAAAGAACTCTCCTAGCCATTCGTCTAGAGTAGTGGCGGTGACTATGGTTACGAGTAGGGGTTCTGGGTCCTTATTTAAGACAGATTTTGGTTCGAGTCGGCCAGAGAAAAGGAATCAGGGGAAAAAGAAGCTCTTTTCTTTAAAATGGGGTATTTCTTGTTTCCATAGCAGAAGACCGCTTTAGAGTTCAGGTGAGGGGAGTTCTTTTTATAGACAAACTATAATTAAACTAATGACATTGAATTAGGAGTTTATTTGAGCACTAGATACATTATGACTTTTATTATCTTTATCAATGATAATCAAATGGAGTTTAAAGAAAAAAACAATCAACTTTTTAAATCAAATGAAGTTATTATATTATCGAGTACATCTTTCGGTTTCAGTTTCTTATGATTATTTATTTAAAAGAGGTGCATTTTTATTATGATAAAATCCTACGATATCACGCGAAAAATTGTCCTGTAAATGTATGCAATTAAAGTAACGAATACACAAATTGTAAAATATTATTAGGAAATCACTTTTCACACTACTACCAAATAATCTCGAAAAATAATTAACTCCACTGATTTTTCTGAAGTTCTTTTTAATTACGTTAACTGGGCTCTTTCTCTCAAAAAGAGATCTGTCTGAATGAATTAACGGCCAACTCTGTGAATTTCATGGAAATTCCTGAGAATGCGTGTGTGCGTACAGCTGCAAGGATTACCAAAAATTATTTAAGACTCATTCTGGTACTTTTTTAGCTTTTTAACCCTTTCAACCCTTTGAATGGAATATATGCGTCTCAAAGATTAAACATTACTCCCTAATGGAGAAACAGATCCCAATTTTTCATGGGTTTCTTATGTTTTCAAGCTTCTTTTGGCATTAGGGAATAAAAATATGATTAAAGGAATTTGGCAACTGTCTCTTGTTCAAAATGGTAGTTTTTTGCTTACGAGCAAGCCAGTCAATCTCGTTTTACTTTACACATTTCCTGAATTTTGAGGCAACTTCAATTATATTTTTGCCATATTTTGCGTAAAATAGCTATGCTTGTTCTTATTAAGTCATAATTGTACCTATTTAATATCAGATTTAGAAATTTTGACACATTTTATTTTGTCTGATATATTATCTCAATCGTACTTAGCATTGGAACAATATATCCTAAACGTACTTACCAGTGGGACAATCTATCCCATTTGTGGTAGAAATATTATAAGACAAACGGCAACTTCTGGTTTGAATAGCTTCTGGTCACACAACTACTGGTAAGAACGAATAATTCGATGCATTTATATTATTTTTATTATTTATTACCATTCAGTATGTAGGTATTTTTCAATACTCAAGACGATTGGGACATACTGTCCCAGGAGATTTCTGGGAAAACGGGAAAACTTTAAACTCACAGTATACTTATTTTAATACATGAGCATTAACTGCTTTTCATATTTAAATTTTAATCCCGCAAAAGTCGGGTATAAAGGGTTTAGTATTGTTGTAAACAATCATATATAACAAATTACAACCAATTCTTTTTTCTAGATAATCTTAGTGGACACATTAGCTGCTTGGAGCCACCACTATGACACATGAATGCAAAAACGATGTGGCTGAACATACGTCTTTAACATGTCCTCCAGCAGTAATGAGCAGAAAACGGATAATGAAGAACATTTTCGTAATGTGTGTCGGTGCTTTTACACTTTTTACCGCATACGACGGGCCCACCATGCTCCAGAGCACAATGAACAAAGAAGGTGGCATCGGGGTTGCAGCTCTGGCAATAAACTATGCCTTTTTTTGCACATCTGCACTTCTGTTTCCCAAGTACTTTATAAAAAGATTCGGAAGCAAGACTACGTTTGTGCTTTCTATGATTTTATATATTCCGTACATTGCTTCGAATTATTACCCTCACTGGGCTGTGATGATTCCTGTTTCTATGATAATTGGGTTTAGTGCTGCACTGCTGTGGAGCTCGCAAGCAACTTATTTAAATGACGCTTCTGTTATGTTAGCAAAGTTGAGTACTTTTAGTGAAGAAAACAATACGTGTCACTTTAAAAAACCAAGGAACACGAATGATTCGAAGAAATTAGAAACAAATGATAAAACTTACGATTTGAACCAGACTTTACCATCCAAATCAGTAGTGAGGACTAAAAATGAACTTCAAGCAGAAACAAGTAGTGAAAATTCCAATACAGGACACACAAATGGCAAAAATTCTGAAGTAGAGAATTCTTCCCATTGTAATGCAACAATTAGTGATAAAAATACCATTCATACAGATCTAGACGAAGCCAGCGACAAGACTTCTTCTCATGCGAACATAAAGGATGCAAATGGCAAGAATCATTCTGATACAAATCCAATTCAAAAGAATATTTTCTATAACAGTCTAGAAGAAAGTGACAAGAATCGAATGGAACCAAAAGCAAACGATAAAAACATTCATATAAATCTGGAAGCAAGTTGTATGACAGCTCCATCTAGTGAAATCATAGCAAGTCAGGAAAAAACTCTCCATACGAAGTTTGGGAGCACTGAGGAAGGGATTAAACAACAAATAGCCACGAATAAGAATACGTTACATGCACTAAATCAGCAACAATCAATAAATGAAACTTTGCAATCCAATGATAGTATTCGAAATCTAAAAATTTCTGAGTGTTGTTCTTTGAGTAACAAAGTTGCAGAAAAATATCACACAACTTCTGCAGTTCCTATTGAATTAGCAAACGATAAGAAATGTGGAGTTCCAGTCTTATCAGATAATTCAGTTTGGAACATTAGTGAAAATTTAAGAACAGAAATGATTCAAAATAGAACATCGCACGCAAAATTGACTGATGCGAAACACACTAACAATATACTTAGACCAATGCCAAAAAAATTTCAAAAATGCAGTCAGGAACATTTCAGAAATAAAGTGGAATCCATAACAGCTCGGGTGTTTGGGATACATGGCATGGCTTTTCTTTTAAGCCACTTATCGGGCAATCTGTTGGCCTATTTCATTCTTAAAAGGGGTGTAGATGCACCGAATGTTTTCATCAACTCTACCTGCGCGTATGCGTGTGGAGCGAACTATTGCAATGCCAACTCGAACTGTTTAACAAATGATTTAGAAAAAGTATCGGATAAAACTAGAATCATTTTGACAACTGTTTGCGTTTCCCTTTCAGTAGTCTCGATTCTGATTGTGGCTTTATTTCTGGAACCGTTGGAGTCTGAATCTGAGAAAGCACCATTCTCCTTACAGTTTCTGATGGCAACTTACAGAATAACTAAACGCACAGATTTAATATTGCTTATTCCATATACTCTATATCTAGGACAGATTCAAGGCTTCTTTGCGGGAGAATTTAACAAAGTAAAGTTTTGATTTACCTTTTTTCACATTTTAAAAATAAAAAAGTTTATCAGATGACAAAGGAATTTACAAGGGAACAATTATCCGTGTTTATCGTAAACGAGACTTAGCTCCGACAAGTCGGTAACTTAGCAACTTTAAGAAAACTTCTAACATTTACCAATCAAATCGAAGAATTTTATCAAGCTTTTTCCAGTTGGAAGGAATTTAATAAGATTTCCGTTAAGCTGCGAATTCTTTGACAAAATGTCCACCTTTAAAAATATATATAAAATTTAAAAATAGCTTACCTTCTCCTCATAATACTGACATCTAGTGACAATGATATAAATGAAAGTTTTATATTAATCCTTTCAAGAATATGCTATTCACGTATCATTAAAATAGTTTTTATCTTTTTTCATAGAAGAAGGAGAGAAAGAGACACCACTTAATTAAAAAAAAGAAAATGTTATAGTATAGTAGACCGATATCTTTGATGGATGGTTGACAGTGCAAAGCTAAGCAATGATGGCCCGGGGGCTCAAAATTCGCCTTATTTGCGGCTGATGTTTACGCTCAAGCAGGAAAAAACGCGCCATCCTATTTTATTATACTTGTAGTTTTTTCAATATAACGCGTTTTTACAATTTAACTTCCAACGAAACAAACGAAAAATGAATTTGAAAGACTTCACAATCTTGCTATGCTACCCAAAAAATATTAAACAGCGCTATTTTACACAAATATAGCCAAATAATAGATAACACTCAAAATATGGCGAACTTTGCACTTTATTTTTGCTGTGATATCAATTTTGTTAATTTTCTTTGTAGGCTCGCGACCTGGTTGAATTTAAAATGACAGAAAAGTCTTATGAAGGGTAAAATTAAGAGCAAATTTAAACACAAATTATAATAATAAAACTTCTCGGAATATTAAGCCTGTTCACACATCACATCGTAAGCATAACATAAGCGGATGAATACACCAGAAGTTTTCTAAATTTCTTCCGGTTTTAGAAAGTTTGTTATTGTTTACCAACCATCTATTGCAATGAGTTAAAAACTATTAACTGTAGTAACTGGTGCCATCGTCTAGTTATGCTGCTTATAGAAAGTAAAGGCTCATAATTCATTTTCATTAAAAAAACTTATTTTAGTGTTTTCAGAAAATGCACACTTTTTAAACTATGCATCTAAGAGTATTGAGTTCAAATATCATTTACTTGCATTTCAAATGAAAATATTAAGCAGTACGAGAGTTAAATTGCAATCAGAATGGAAAAATGTCACGAAAACTGTATTGGGCGCTAGGAGTAGAAGAAGGCGAGAGGGCTCAAATAGTGCGGCAATTTCACATCGCTATTTTTTTTCTAGATATTTTGGCTGGAGTGATTTATCGTTTAAAATATGTTTCTGATTTAAAACTTTTAAGTTTTATAGTAATACGTTTTAAAAGTATATCTCTAAAGATAAAGATAAAATTCGTTAGCTTGTACCTCTCTTTAATGATAAGCATCGGGTTTCAGTTAACTTGTGAAATGCTCATTTGGCGTAGTCCGCTTAAATTACCACATTCACAATGACCATTGAGTTTAACCAATTAAACCAATAACCAATTAAAAATTTAATGAATATTAAAGGACGCGTATTAATCTCTCTTTAATTAATGAGAGCCATAATCTAGTAAACAAAACTTACGTTATCTTTAACATATTTAATAAAACAGAATCGTCGGCAGTTTTATTTTTGCTAAAGGCTTTTGCTAAACAAATGAGAAAATTTAATTTTTTAAACGTCTCTCTCAAATGATCTATTTGAAATTTTAGAATAATTTTTAGGATCCGGGTCTAAAGTTGCTCCTTTAACAGCCCTTTGGGCAGTAAAGTCCAAAGTTCAGGGAAATATTTCAAGGTAAAATAAGATGTTGAGCTTGGGACAGTTGGTAATTTCGATTTTCCGCGATTGGTTAATAAATTTAAATTTTTTTTCTTAGTTATGTCAGAGAAAAACGTTTATACAACCAAAGGCGGTCTTTAAATTATAAATTTGTCTGTAATTATCGCAGCTAAATACATAAAAATGTACAAAAAATGTAAAAGTACAATGCTTTCTCCTAATCATTTTCCTTCAAAACAGCGAGGCAGCCCAAGTATGCCCCTTGACCATCTCCGGAATTCGATTCCAGGCAATTTTTTATCTTTTTCTTTAGTTTCCCAGCTTCAAATTTCGAGACAGTTCGTACATTTGTGCTTTGGCCGTCCTCTCGCCCGATTGCCATCTGGTACGGTTATGAAAACCTTTTCGGTGATGCCTAGTTCATTTTAACTTTTGGATGTTACGGAAATTTGTGATGTCGGGATTTTTATAAATTCTGTATAATTCAATATTTTTTCTTCAGATCTATCATATCGTTTTTTATTTTAAATGTATTTCAAATTACATTCTGAGTGATTTTTTCCCCGCAAACACTCCGACATAGCGAGCTGAATGTTAACTTCAAACATAATTACACTTCACTCAACTTATCTTTACAATTGCAGGCATATGTAAGCTGTGCATGGGGAACGTATCACGTGTCTTTGGTCTCCATAGTTTACGGATTCTTCTGTGCTGTTTTCGCAACTTCTTCTGGGTGGATTGTCAAATTTTTCGGTAGACTAGCTCTGTTTACTTTCGCTGCGCTTCTCAACATAGCCTTCAGCGCTTTGCTTTTGCTTTGGAAGCCTTTGCATCCTGAAATGTTGTTTACAACAGCTGGAATGATTGGAGCTTTCGTCGGAATGGGTTGGTCACAGTTAAGAGGTAAGTCAGTTAAGTAATTTTCTCGTCCAATATCTTACTGCATCCCTTCAAACACTTGTTAAAAAAGGATATAGTTTGGTTTTATATTGCTTATTCTCTAAAAAAATGTCTCCAATTTTTTAAACAATTGGTTTCACATCATTTTAAACTATGTATGTTAGATGACAATATGCAAAATTTGAACGAAAGAGGTTCAATAGATTCTGTGTAATAAAATTTAAAATCATTCTTATTTTTAAATTTTTTTCCCTCAAGAAGTATCACCGATTTCGTTCAAATTTTGTATTTCATTATTCAACATTACATAGTTTAAAATGTTGTCAAAAATGGGTATGCATTACAACTTAAACTTTTGAATGGATTATTAAGAATAATATTAAAAAGCAAGATATAAATATTCAAAATTATCTTTTTTCATCAGACTATATGTTGATAAACGAATTTCATATTTGAGCGTGAAATTTTTCTTTCTCTTCAAAAGTTCGTGAGATATGGTGGAATATGCGAAAAGTAAAATGAACATTAAGGGTCCCTAACTGAACTCCTGGGACATTACTTTCTAGATAGCGCTACCTCAAATATTTTGACTACTAATATTAAGAACTAATTCATTAGCATATTTTAAGTAATCCCTTTCAACCATTAACGTTCTTTTACGTAAAAATTCGAGGTTTGGAACAAAAGTTTATCAGAGTGACGTCTTAACTTGGTTCTTTGAAAGCACTGAACCTCTTTTTCCTTTCATCCTTCAAGGCAGAATCGTTTGAAGTCGGATTTATGCCTCTTGATACTACAATAAGGGCTACTAGGTACTGCAAAACTCTAAATGCGCTTCTAAGAGAGACTGACCATTCTGCTCTCATTGCATACCAGACCAGTTACATCAAACAACATGCACACCAGATCAGTTACATTGAACATGCACATCATACCAGTTAAATAAGCAAAAATAAATATGCCAAAACGACAGGGTTGTTCCTGAAAATAAAAATAATGCGCAACAGAAAAAAAGCGGAGCCTCTTAACTATTTGGCTTTATATGTTTACGTTTGCCTAAAAAATAAAATGATTCTCGAAGCAAGGAAAAAGGTTCAAGCTGTTCTATCACAAATCAAGAAAGTGAAAACTGCTTAAACTGGTTTTTATTTAGATTCAGAACAAAGATAAGACTTTTTTATGAGGAAATATTTATGTTTTGGCTATAGCTCGGTTAACAGTTAACAATTTGATTAGTTATTTATTCTTGTTTGGTGTAAAAGCGTAGGAGTTTGATGTAATCTTATTCAATTTGAAGATCTTACATTTTAATTGTACCCTTAAAGCTGTACATGAAAGCTTCATTTGATGTTTAACAAAATGTCAAATTTGATGTCAAAGCTTAACAATGTCGACAGAATTATAAATTTGATCTAAAATGATTAATATTAAATTTAAATTAACTCTAAAATATTAAATTTAAACTAAATTATTCTCAGAGTTTAGCGTTCAGGTCAATGATATGCTGCCACACTGTTAGAAGTTTCATTCTAAAATTATAGTACAATAACCGGCAGCAGTTTGTTCATCCGATTAACAGTAAAGTTTACAGTGAAGAACATTTTTTATCTTTGCGGTCTTGAAACCGTTTAGAACTAGTATGGCTATAAAACCATAAATACAAAACTATACTTTTTTTAAAACCATTTACAACTAGCATGGTTTCAAAAATCGTAAACAGAAATTTAATTGGACATGGGAGCTAGGCTTTTCGATAGAAAATGGGCATTGGAGATCGCAGGATACATATCGGACAGCACAGGACGCTGGAAACCTTTCATGTAAAGGGAATGGTGGAAATATTTTGATGTCAACGTTGGGAACTCCAGTTCTGATGAACTCCAGTTCTGTCAATCATTAGACTGACAGACCAGTCCTCTCCGTTATAATATGCAAGTAGTTGCAAGGAATTAAGTGGCTTCATTAGGTGGGTTTGATTGGAGTAATGAAATTCTGGTTTCTTAATCGTATAAACTGTTTTTCCCGCAGTTCACAGTTTGATTTTCATCTTATTTATAACTATATGACTGCTTTGTTTGAATATTAGTAAAAAAGTAATTAAATAAATTGTTATTTAACATCAATTAAAAATATTTTTCAGAGAAATTTCTAACAGTGCACTCTTTGATCACTGCCCTATTATTAATAGTCTTTATTTAAATTTTTTTTTCTTTCTATTTTCCAGCATTTTACGGAGTCCTTTTTAAAGCAGAAGAGGAAGCAGCATTTGGAGCATTTTATGTATGGTATTCTATAGGCTTCTGTCTATCATTCGCCTACAGTACCTATTTCTGTACATCTGTCAAAATATACGTTTTAATCTTCGTGTCTAGTGTCGGTTACATCGGATATTTCATTGTAGAAAAGAGATTTTCAAAATTTAAAAACAAAGGCAGCTCTGTTATGAATTTGAATTGATATAGCATTTCAGGCAATTCTTACTGTTTCAGCTATCATTCCCTAAAGATAATAAACAGAAATTTAAAGTGCAACAATTTGTGGAACATAAAAAAAAATATCGGATAACATACAGTAAAATTCAAAGCTATTTCTTTGGTTTTCTTTTATAATTATAGAAATTTGTTTGCAGCTCTTAACATAAATCATTTCTAATATTTAAAATGTAATTTTTTATTTTATTTTTAATTCAATTAGGATTGAAGTTATGTTTAAATTCATTAAACTAAGGGTACAGTATAATATCGCAACTGTAGTAAAATTTTTTATTACATCTAATTTCACACCAAATGCTAAGCTTTCAGCGCGGATATATACCAACATCGCCAACTCTTGAAACAACTTTGTACAGCCATCTTTTTGCTTTCTAGTGAAATAAGGAAAACAAAACTTATTGAATAATCAACTGACAAGTAATAAGAATTTGAAATAAAATCTATCTAAAAATCGTAAATATACTCCCTTCTGTTCGCATTAAAAGAAACTGATAAAATAATAATAAATATGGATTCCTGCAAGCGATTTTCTACTACTGCGAAAGAAAAGTATGAATTCTTTATCTCGCATTTGATTTGTTAAGGGCATGTCAGCTTAACCACCGTTTTTAGTGGGTCCAATCAAATCCAATGCTCTCGCAACGTCATATAGTTTTTTTGTTTCAAGAGCATTTATCAAAATATGTCACCATGTCTAAGACTACGATAAGATCACGAAACGATAACTTTTCATCAGTCATTCTATGATATATATCTTAAAAGATAGCGCGAATTAAATTTTTGTCTGACGTGTTTAAATTTAAAAAGCTTTTATATAGTTTTGAAGGCATATTTGTATAATTTGATAACGAAATAAAATGAAACAAAAAGCATGATGATTACTTAAATCGTGTACTGAAATGGTCCTTTTTTAATTTGCAATGGAGTATAGTTGGTGTTAAGTAGTTGTTGCCATTTTGGTATACTGTAACACTAGCATTCATAATAACAATAAGATATGATGCAAATGCTAATATTTTTTTTTAAAAATACAATTTAAAGTAAGAAGAGTTAGTTTAGGGGGAAACATACACACACTATTTCTTAAAATATAATTAGTTTGTAAATCAAGAACAAAGGTAACATTAAGACGAATTTGAAATATGCCCAACTTAGGATAGAAATTAAGTGTTATAAAACTATTTAATACACAATTGGGTAGATATTCAAAAATTAAAGTTATCAAATATTGTAATGATAACATCAGTGATATTTGCTAGCTCTAATCTAAAAAGTTGTTTATCACGCGTTCCGTAATACTTAAATATTTTCTATTCGTTATGTCAGGTTATCTGAATGATCAACGTGGTCGTGTTAGCATAGGTGGACTTCGTCACCAAATTAATTCTTATAAGGTTATCTAAAACCAAGTATTTATTTTGTTCATAGTTATTCTCTTAAAACCTGTAACTATAAAACTAAATAATTTAAAATCAACGGTAATTGAAATTAAAAATATAAGGTTTTCACTGAAAAGCAAAATTATTTAATTAATAGAACTAATTCGTAGAGAATAAACATAACAACAACTCCGATATCATTATTTATACCATTGGAAATTAACAGTGGTAGTAGTTACGAATTGAAATAAAATAATAAACTATATACTAAAAAGCAAAATTAACGGAGGAATTCACTAATTTATTTAAGAGAACGTAAAAAAGTCGCCTTATTATTATTGGCACCAATGATGCTTAAATTTGGTAGTAGGCACTACTGGCATCATGGTAATTGGTGCAGTTTTAATAGGTTCCAAATATACTCCTATAAAGGCGTAAAGTATTTAATGAGTAAATTTGGTGCCAAATACGGCTGTATCAATACAGTACTGCAATACATTGAATCATGTCGTATGGCCCCTCGTAGATATAAGTACAGGAGAAATCAGCTTGATTATAGTGAATTTTAAATATCATGAGTTGCTACGAACAACGGCATTATGACATATATGATACTTAATACAGTTAATCTTTATTTTGATGACATGAACTACTAAATACGTTTGTTACTACTAAATGTTTTGTTTAATCTAATAATGTAAAGCAACCAAGTAAATAAACAAAAACAATATTGGAATTATTTTTGCTTTATTACTTACATAACCGTTTTAGCGCACGATTCTGTAGTTTTTTTTAGTACCCCTTTATTGATGCTTATCTTTTTTTACACTCTACAAGGAACTTTTTATTTTCATCTTGCTGAAAATAAAAAGAAACACATGTTTTGTGAAACTAAAGTTAAAGTAAGAGGCGAGTTTCAGGGATTGCTAAAAAGTTTAGTTTTAGAAGTCATTGACAAAAACAAATCTGGGTAAAAGTCGTTGTTTCAGCAATAGTTTGCATTTGAGACTGAAAATCTGAAAATCTAATTTTAACATGTTTTTCACGCAAAATTAAATATAATGTAAGATTAAGGGGAAAAAAAGTTTTAAAGAGTTATATTGAAATGAACGAAATATAACTACTACTATTCACACACCCATTTGTATTATAGCAGATATATCTTGATTACAAATATTTATTCTATTATTTCGATATTTCATATTCTAACTGAAAGAAACTTTTCGAGCAATAAAGTTTTGTAAAATGCGATGAGTCAATATAATGCTGTCAACAATAGTTACATATTTTTTTGGAAAACGGATGATGACATGTCATTTAATGTTCAATATTTATAGTAAAATTCAGTTACTTTGTGTGGTTGAGACAAATTACATTTTGAAAGAAGTCAATACATACGTGGGTTTCGTTTTCACCAATTTTGCAGAACTCATCAAAAATGCGAAAACAAATTGGTATTCGTCACCGCGTTATTGACTGAATAACATATTTTATTTAAGTATCGTCTTCAAAACTGAATAAAATAAATTCTTTTCTAATAGTTAGTTTATCTACCTAGAAAATTCTTTCCACTATTGGATAACTTCATTGAAAGGGGACAACAGATATTGCAATTTGGATTCCTTAGAAATATATTTAGCCAACAAAATGCCGTAGAAATGATTCGTTTGTTCGTATAACAGTATTATAAATAATTGTGAAAGCATATAATGGAATGATGTAAACTGTACTACAAATTTTGAAACGTAACTGGTTGTGGTTATGAATATCTTATATATGACTTATAAATTTTAATACTATTTTAAAACAAATCTTTCAAATTATATGAATTTTAAAATTCAAATTTTATGAGTAAGGCAGATTTTTAATTTTTTAAAAAGATTTGAGCATTGTTCTTTTTTTTCAAAGTGGAATTTCCTGATTAAGTTTGTTTCATGAATTGCTGATACGATAGCAGATGATATAATTAATTAAATTATATATAATCATACACTTACCGTAAAAAAGGAATTTGTTATTTATTCAAGAAATTCTATTTGATAAGTGAATATTTAGGATGTTTCATTAATTGATCATACAAAAGATAATACAGTTTATTCAAAAAATGGGATCAAGTTTCCAAATTGTGATATTATCGAATGAATATTTAAAATATTTCATTGACCGATCATGTAAAAGATAATCTTTCTTCAAAAAGTGGATTTGAATTTCTGAATTATGTTAATATCGTGTGGATATTTATAATGTTTCATTGACTAAATCTCTCTATTATGATGTTATTGTGCTGATATTTTGGATGATTTATTTTAAAGTATTTAAAATTCCATCTCTGAAGTGGAATTAAACTTCTCAACTCTGATATTGTCATGTGGTTATTTACAATATTTAATTAACTGGCGGTACTTGCACAAATATAGTTTTCCTCATTAAGTGGAATTTTAATTATGATATTGTTTGGATATTTAAACTATTTACTAGTTCATTTCAGCATTATTACTACAGCACAATAATTTAGTGTCTTAAAACAAAATTACTATTGCTATAGAACAAGATAATGCTGATTTACTATTAATGCGTTTCAAATATTAATCATTATACTCTATGAATATTGTTATAAGACAATTTAAACTTTACAGTAGTTAATCGAAATAGCGAACATTCCAAAAAAAGATCCAATTTAAAGATGACAAAGACATTCATACAACCAGCTAGAACTGCTACATTCGAAAGACATTCTCTTGTTCAAGAGCACATTTCTTGGAAAAATGTTCTTAAAATTTCGAAGGTATTTGGCATTTGTATTTCGATTGAAAACTTTTTGCCTCGCTCAAAACGAGAAACATGCTTAAGTGTTGTATATTTTTGTTGGGTAGTTTTATCTGTGTATATAGTAGCTACATATACCTTTGACGTATTTATAAGAAAAAATATTTCCGACATTTCGATTTTTATGGTACATAATATAGAACTATTATGTGCGATTTTCATGAGTTTCATTTTACGTCCAATGTTAAGCCGATTATTAGACGCAGTTGTGAAAATCGATCAGTTAAGAAAAACCGTTGATTACTACAATGTTCCCAAAACATCCACTAAATTCTGCTTATATTTATTTCTCGCTGTACTGGTACAATTTTTTGTCAATATCTATCGTACTCTTAACCCAAGAGATCCGGGTGATTATGTACTGATGTCGACTTTTGGCTTATTAAACAGTGCAAAGCTGCCAGCCAATCAAGTAAAAGAGATTTCAACTTTCATTAAGTTTTTGATGAGTTTGTCCTATGCTTTTTTCAATTTCATTCCCACATTATGCGCAGCCATCATTTATCTGTCCCAAATAGAGAATTTTCAACTTATTCATGCATATAATGTATCGTTGAAGCCGATGGTAAAATCAGATATGACCTTCAAAAAACTGATGAAAATAATTGATGGCTACTCTAGGTTAACTAGCGCTGTCAAAGAAGTGAACGACATTATTTCCTGCCTGGCTTTTACCTTGTATGGATATTTGCTGATCAGTTTGTGCTATTCTTTAAGCGTGATGATGCAATTAAAAAAGGAAGATATATTCAGGATTGCTGCCTATGCCCTTTCGGTGGGTATATTCGTATGCGAGTTCATCTTCGTGGTCAATGCCGCAGTAAGAGTGGACAAAGAGACAGAAGATGCTAAGAGAGAATTAACTCTGAAAACTGAACTGGACAGCGCTTTGAGAGTGGACGCATCGGGGGCTGCTCATATTTTATTTATACACTCGGCCTTTAAGCGTTTTAAGCAAGAAGTTTCTGTTGTTCCAATGGGAATGTTCAAGTTGGAAAAAAAGTTGTTCCTTTCAGTTTTTGGACTGATTGTTACGTACGAAATTATTATTTTACAGTTTAGCTGTTCAACTTTATAATAATTTTTCAATCAATTAAATAAAAAATTTATTAAATAAATGTGTAATTTAATCTTAATTTATTAAATAAAATATTATTAATAAGTTATTTAATCATTTATTAATTATTAAATAAGTTATTTATTTATTATTTAATAAATAATTAAATTTATATTAATAATATGTAATTATTATATATTAATAATACATAATATTATTAAATCATAATAATAACTCAACAATATTAATGATAAATAATTAATTTTAAATATTTTTATTAAGACGCCCGGTGGCTGAGTTTTAGCTCCTCGCGCTCCCTGGTCATAGGTCCTGGGTTCGATCTTCGGACCGGAATAGGTTCACTCAGCCTTTCATCCCTTCAGTGGGTAGATAAATGAGTACCAAGCAAGCTTGGGAACTAAACACTGGGTGTTTCGCGTTCTGCTGACCACCTAACCGAAACATCTGCTCCTGTACCCCACAGTCCAAAGTCAAGAAAACTGAGATGGGCACAGTAGGCCTTGACCCTCTGTGGGCTGTCACGTCACTGAGTTTAGTTTAGTTTTTAATTTTTATTAATGATCAAATAAA